TTTCACCCCTTAGAACTTTAGACGTGTGTAATGTTTCACTTTATACATCCGTTTACTGCAATCGTGGCAGGACCAAGTGGATGTGGGAGTGAAATTTTATAACAAATTTCATAAAATCAGTTACAGAAATATGTAATTGTGATTTTAATCAGATCACATGCTGCTTTAATGAAATGCAACCTTTATATAATTAACTAAATGTTAACTATCATCAAGGAATTCCAAATCTTAATATGTGTGATGGTGAAAACTCACATCTTGTTATTTTGATAATCTAATGAGAGAGTCCGATGGAAGAATTGTGGATATATTTACAAAAGGTGGTCATCACAGGAATCTTAGTGTATTTTATTTAACGCAGAATTTATTACATCAGGGTAAAGGGCAAAGAGAGATATCTTTAAACTCAAGTTATATAATATATTTTAAAAACCCTCGAGATAAAACTCAAATAAGATATTTGGCACGACAAGTGTCACCAGATAACCCAAAATTCTCTGATGACGCCTACAGGGATGCAACTCTAGAGGTGCATGGATATTTAATGCTAGATTTAAAACAGAATACCAATGATTTTTGTCGTATCAAGACAAATGTCTTCCCCTTTAATGGTTTCTGTACAGCCTACGTCCCCACAAAAGAGTTTAAATAGGTATACCAAGAATCAAACAATTCGAATCATTGCTAATGATGCGTGACAAAGCATAAACATTTGCTAAACGCTTTGCATACGCTTAAACCAAAATATCAAAGAGCATTACTTAAAACGTGTGATGAAGAAGAAATTAATTGTAATTGTGAGTGTATTCATAACGTTTTACAAGGAAAAGTACCTCTTAAAGATCAAGATAAACTAAAATTGAATAAACACAAAAATATACTCCGTAAACTAGTGCGTAAGTGTAAACATAATATAATTATACAAAAAGGAGGGGCTTTCTTACCAATAATATTAGGTGCAATATTGAGTGGATTAGTGAGTGGACTAGCCATTTAACCTGGATTGATTGAAAAATTAAAACAAGAAAATAAGGTTAATAGTAATTTATCTCGATTAGATATTGAAATGCAAAATATTATGAATAGTAAGACGGAAGACCGAAAGAAATGGATGTTATATTTACAAACACTGCAAAGATACCTTCATTTTACCGAAGAGGATCGTCAACCACTCAGATTACCAATTTATTCTGATACATCTAATGAAGATTCAAATGAGTCTAAAATTTGTTTTAAAAATAAAGATAAAGATCTAAAAACTTCAGTTGATGCTGAATCTTTGTTGGAGGAGAATCGATCCATTAAAAGTAACGAAAATGATGAAAACCCACTTTACACACCGGCTCAAATACTCAGCTTAATACCAAAAACTTATAATAAAATAGGACAGTTATTATTAAACTTAGTTGAAACAAGTAAAAGTAAAATACATTGGGATAATGAAGGTATAATCATAATTGATAATGAAAAAATTCCTGGAAGTAATATTGTTGATTTAATAAATGATTCACTAAGACCCTTAAAAAGAAGTGATCCAGTAGGGTGGGATAGATTTGCTGAAGCTTTAAAAGATATTAAAGTACCACTTACTTATATTGGAAATCCAAAGAGATATGGATTTATTAACCAACTTCAAGGAAAAATCTGAAAAAACCCTCTGATTGAAGTTCAAGAGTTTTCTTCATCGAGCAGTAGAGATAAAAAGTCTACAACTAAAATACATAAAAGGCTTGAGTGGGAAAAATGGATCCCGTACTAGAAGAAATTAACAGGATTTATTATGATCCATCTAATCCCGCTGGTTTTGGTATTATTGATAAATTATCAAAAGCCATGAAGGGTAAAATAAATAAAAAGCAAGTAAAGGAATGGTTAAAATCACAAGAAACATACACATTACATAAACCCATTCGAAAAATATTCCCGCGTAATAGGTACATTCTATCAAATATTAATGAACTGTGGCAAGCTGATTTAAGTGATATGCGAACTTATTCTCAATACAATGACGGTTTCAAGTATATACTTTGTGTTATTGATGTATTTAGTAAATATGCTTTTGCAAGACCAATGAAAAAGAAAAACTCGGAAACAACCAAAGAATGTTTTGAAAGTATATTTACTGAAAGTAATTTAACACTTACTCACATGCAATCGGATAAAGGTACAGAATTTGTTTCAAAAAATGTACAAAAATACTTTTAATTCAAAAAGATTAATTATTATACCACTAACAATCCTGACATTAAGGCTAGTATTGTTGAACGATTTCAAAGAACACTAAAAATGAAAATGTGGCGTTATTTCACTCATAATAATACTTATAGATATATAGATGTTTTACAAGATTTAATATACTCTTATAATCACAGCTTTCACTCTAGTATTAAGATGTGCCCATGTGATGTAAATTCACAATATTATGACAGTTTGGATCAATCCTTATGATTGACTGTCAAACAAACTTTCTTTAGAAAATCCTAAACCAAATTTCAATGTGGGTGATTATGTTCGAATAACTAAATATAAACATGTTTTCCAAAAAGGATATGTATCAAATTGGAGTGATGAAATATTTATTATATCTTCAATAATTGATAGATCTCCATGGGTTGTTTATACAATAACAAATTGATTTACAAAATGAACCAATAGTTGTTACTTTTTATGAAAGGGAATTACAGAAAATCACTTACAACCCCACTTCATAATATAAAATATAAAATAGATATAGTATTAATTAAGTGGAAAGGTTATTCAGATAAATTTAACAGTTGGATTTGACCTCGTTCATTCCACCATTAACTGCTAAAGTGAAAGCTGCGAAAAAACTAAAACCAAAAAATATCAAAGATATATTTTCAAATTAAATATGTCTTTCCTTCATAATCATTCTTTCGAGTGCGTTAAGTCAGAATTGGATTTGTTTGCACTAGCGTCTACACAAACTTGCATTGAAAATGGATTGTGGATTCATTATAAACCAATTCCATCTCTTGGTGATGATGGACCTATCGAGTTTCAAGTTCCTGGGACAGGCGATGACTACATAGATTTGTCTCATACATTACTCCGCATAAAGGCAAAAGTATTAAATCGAGATTCAACTTGATATCTACTACAATAGTAGCACCTGTAAATAATTGGCTGCATTCACTTTTTAGTCAACTTGATGTTTATTTAAGACCAGGTCTTAGCACGATTTCAAATTTGTTTTTCACCCGCGCGTCCCGCAGTGGGTGGAGCGCAACCGGCTGTCGGAGAGCGCCGCATGAACACAGTATGCGCAAAGCAAGCAGACAATTCACCTCCAAACAAAAACTTTTCCGTGAGGTCTACTGTTCTCAACACTACTAGGAGTCTGGACATCATACTACATTTTAATATCAATATTTTTTAAAGTCAGTTTTACGATATGAGCAGGTACTTAGTCAACTATTTACATACATAAACATTTAAAACGTTTCGTTGGAAAAATAGCTAAAATAAGAGAAAAAGAATAGTTTCAAATAAAACCGCTAGAAAATTCAAATTTATTTTACTGTTTTCTATTACCTTACCTCCAGGCTTGATGGAGTGACCTGAAGGTGTACTTTGGTAATCGGTATTGGAACAGGTCGCCGAGTACTATTAGGTGTGCCGAGTTTGGTCTAGTTTTGTTGGGTATGACGAGCCCTTAACTCTGGACTTGATGGAGTGACCTGAAGGTGTACTTTGGTGATCGGTATTGGAACAGGTCGCCGAGTACGACTAGGTGTGCCGAGTTTGGGCTCGTTTTGTTAGGTATGACGAGCCCTTACCTCCGAGTCAAGTTTTCGTTATAATACCTTGAACAGATTTCAGATGAGTTATCAATGACGATAAGCTTGTGATATCATTACCTTGAACAACTATTCGATCAGCTGTTCTTTTGAGTGTTGCACCGACACCACTTGGGGCTCCTTTTCCATGGCCACTTTCTTTATAATTCCATGTAATACTAGTCAAACTGGGAAAGTACCAATGGAGTTTACTGATGATATAAAACATTTTACGGTTTCGGTACTGAGCCGACGGACTATCAGAAATGAAATGTAGTATACGAATATTGAGATTTTCATCTCCTATGAATTTTAAAATCGGAAGTAAATGTTCCCAAATGGCTGGTGCATCATGGTGTAAAGACTCTGATAATGTACACATCGACTGAACTTTCAGAAGTCCATTTTTATGATAATAAATGACCGCGGTGAGCAGGGTTATTTGTTGTCGGTTACCCCCGAAATGAACGGCTTGAATTTCATTACCGTATTTTGTGCTGTAATTTTCACTAAAGTCGCAGTGAATTATACACTCTTCCTCAGTGAGTTCGCTTTTCATTTTTTTAATAAACTTGTTTTGTGCGATCATAACTCCACAGTGAGTCATGTATGAAGGTAACATTTTTTCAAATTTTAAAATGGTGTCCCTGGGGAAAGTAGTCACTTTATCTTTCGTTGTGTGAATGGTTGTTTTTGTAACTCTATTCTTGTAATAAGTTCTTTTACTTTTTTGCCAAATCCAGTAAAACAATACTTCAGTGTTAATGAATTCATTATAGATTAAGCTTTTATCTTTGCAGTCATCGCATTTTCTAGTTAAATATGACACATTCGAAGAGTCACAGCACAGTGATGGCAAAATATCTTTGGTAGATTTTTCTTGAATTAAGTTGTTTTTTTTAAAGCAGTCACCATCAAGTCCATATTTTCATGTTCGATACAAAGACAGGTTTCTCGTTTATTTACATTAGGTTTCAGTATCCAAAACGGTCGTTTTTGGCAAAAACTGGAGTTTTTTTTTTTGGGGATTTTTTTGCTTAAACTTAGTATATAAGTCTTTTAAAGAATCATTTAAATAGCGTCTTTGTTTTTTATTCTTTTTCTGGGTAATGAACTCTTTCTTCCCAGAACACATACGACTGTTTTCATCTTCTTCAAGAAAAGTTTTGATGTCCTCTTCCACATTATTTTTAATTGTTTTTATAGTGTCTGATTCACTTTGTTTAATATCTTCAGTATTATTTTTATTATATGTTCATATTCTCTTAATTTAGCACTTTGGTATTTTAATCTATATATCTGTTTTCGCTGTCGTTCGTTGACAGTCTTCAGTTGATCAATCTTCTCTTTCTGTAACTGATATATTTTGTTCATGCGGTATTTAAATTTACGTATGATAACTTTGATATTCAGTTTCTTGTTAGCTTTTGGATTTGGAGGAAACTCCTTTTCAATCACACGAACTGATGATCTTGTACATGGCTTTGAAATTTTACTAACGTCACTAGACGATTGACTCCGTCTCGGTGCTGACGAGCCTCGATAAGCCTTAATACGCTGAGGTAAAGGAAATGAAACGATGGATGAACTTGATGGTAGCAAATCAACATAGGAACTTGCTTCAGTTTGAAGCAATTCTGTTCGTATTGTTTGTGATTGTGAAGTCACCAAAGGATCGTCAGTTTTGTCGATTACTTCTGGTACGATTATTAAATCCTCTTCAAGACACCTCATCTATTTACGCCTTCTTTTCAAATTGTGTTTGTTGGAAGATATTCTACTTCTCTCTCTAAAACTTCGTTGTTGACGAGGATCTAACTCACTTACAGACTTTATTTTTCCTTCATTCTTCCTTTTATAATACCGTTGTCTATCTTTCTCTTTGTGTACTGCATAAAACTCTGGATCACTCTTAATGCGAGCTTTCCGACGTCGTTCAGACAATCTCTTTTTATTGAAATAATACTAGTTTTTACGGAATTTATCGCGTATATTTAACTTTTAATACCCGACGTTTCGAACGCTTTACAGCACTCATGGTCACGGGCAGGACTGAGATGTTCAACGTCCATATGTCATAGTTAACCGCGGTTACCATAGATTAAAATTTAACTTTTGTTCCGATCTATGCAGTATGAACTTATGGTATCTTGAAGTCTTGCAGTTGTATGCTTGGGTTGGGATTTAATTTTATTTATTATAGGATCCCAAGCAGATGGTAGCACCCAGCCATCTTCTCTATTGAAATTAGGATGATTTTTGATTTCAATAGCCTCGCGAATCATCCTTGGAAGGAATCGGTGTTCTTTAGCGAGGATCTGCGGTCTATCAAATCTGATGTAGTGACGGGGGCGATCCTGTACGTGTTCACAGACTGCAGACTTCCCGGAGCGTCGATTCTTCACATCAGCTATATGTTCTTTAACGCGGGTTTTTATTGATCTTTTAGTTTGTCCTATGTAGGAGAGACCACATTCACAATCAAGCTTGTACACTCCTGCATCTTGCAGAGGGACATTACACTTGACCGATGGTAAAAACTGACCAATCTTCTTCAGCGGCTTGAAGTATGTTTTGATGGAAGCGCGCTTCAAGATGTAGCCAATCTTGTCAGTGACTCCTCTAAATCAGGCGAGTAAAAAGTTGTTACGGACGGTAATCCAACAAAAACGCTCCGATCTATATGACATAAATAAATCCATAGACACATCATCCAGTGAATTGAAGAAAGTTTTAACGACGTTTGACTATAATTTTTGCATGGAAACATTAAATAAACGCGAAATTAGTAAATATAATGAATGCAAAAACAAACATATAGAAAAATATCAAAAATTAACGAACAAGTCAAATGTCAAACATCTGAATCAATGCCAGAACCGAAAGCAACCATTGACAAACACAGATCATAGATTAATCGCGCTCTATAATCTGTCAAAACAAACACTGGATGATGCAACAATTAGGGTTTTATCCAAAGGCCTCAACTTTGCAATTACACCCCGCAAATTACCGTACGAAGAAATTATCTGTAGTGTCGAGGACTGTTTATTTAAAAACAATATGCGGAAAGAAGATTTGGAGGCGATACGTCAAGACATCTCGTCTATGTTACGTCGATGTTCAGTGCCTAAACCGAATCTTCCCAAAGACGAATTTATAGCGTTAAAGAACCTACGCAATAAACACGAACTTACGATTCTCCGCGCAGATAAGGGAAACGCCACGGTAGTCATGGATACGTCAGATTATAATTCTAAAATACAAGAACTTTTGTCGGATGTAAGTACTTATAAAAAGGTTAAAAACGACCCAACAAATAGCACACTAAAAACAACTAGTGACCTAATAAAGAAACACTCCGAAAAATTAAATCTGGACGTAAAATGGATAATACCTACGTGCGCCAAATCACCAAAATTGTATGGGTTACCAAAAATACACAAGCCCAATGCTCCATTACGTCCCATAGTGAGCCAAATCGATTCACCAACTTACAGATTGGCTCAACACTTAGCGAAAATACTCTCACCACTCAGGGGACATACAAGAGCACACATAAAGGATTCCTACCATTTTGTCAGCGAGATTAAAGACCTACATCTGGCAGACAATGAAACTATGGTCAGTTTTGATGTGCAGTCATTGTTTACATGCTTACCTGTTGAAGACTGCATCTCAATTGTAACTAGAAGGCTGCAAGAAAACAATATGCCCGTAGAATATGCAGTATTACTCAGACACTGCCTTACATCTGGCTACCTATTGTGGAAGGAGGAGTTCTACAAGCAAGTAGATGGTGTGGCGATGGGCTCACCTGTATCTCCCATTGTCGCCGACATATTCATGGAAGACTTTGAGGAGAAAGCCCTGCTTAGTTCTCCCATAAATCCAAGGTTCTACAAGCGGTACGTAGACGACACTTTCACAATTCTACCTTTAGATAAAGTAACTGCATTTTTAGACCATCTTAACTCTATAAATTCTAAAATTCAGTTCACAATGGAGTTAGAGGCAAACAATTTCTTAGCTTTTCTAGATGTGTTAGTAATTCGGAATCCTGATAACACCTTGAGCCATACTGTGTATAGAAAAAAGACCCATACAGATAGATATTTAAATGGTGATTCTCACCACCATCCTTCACAGTTAGCTACCGTGGGTAAATCTTTGTTTCAGAGAGCACGAGGGATCTGTGACAGTAAACACCTGTGTCAAGCAAGTTTTGCATGACAACAAGCTTCAAGTCCCGCGCCTACGTCACAGTGAACGAGTGAAGCCGGCCACAGTCGAGCGTGTACCTGCTGTACTGCCATATGTTAGAGGAGTCACTGACAAGATTGGCTACATCTTGAAGCGCGCTTCCATCAAAACATACTTCAAGCCGCTGAAGAAGATTGGTCAGTTTTTACCATCGGTCAAGTGTAATGTCCCTCTGCAAGATGCAGGAGTGTACAAGCTTGATTGTGAATGTGGTCTCTCCTACATAGGACAAACTAAAAGATCAATAAAAACCCGCGTTAAAGAACATATAGCTGATGTGAAGAATCGACGCTCCGGGAAGTCTGCAGTCTGTGAACACGTACAGGATCGCCCCCGTCACTACATCAGATTTGATAGACCGCAGATCCTCGCTAAAGAACACCGATTCCTTCCAAGGATGATTCGCGAGGCTATTGAAATCAAAAAACATCCTAATTTCAATAGAGAAGATGGCTGGGTGCTACCATCTGCTTGGGATCCTATAATAAATAAAATTAAATCCCAACCCAAGCATACAACTGCAAGACTTCAAGATACCATAAGTTCATACTGCATAGATCGGAACAAAAGTTAAATTTTAATCTATGGTAACCGCGGTTAACTATGACATATGGACGTTGAACATCTCAGTCCTGCCCGTGACCATGAGTGCTGTAAAGCGTTCGAAACGTCGGGTATTAAAAAGTTAAATATACGCGATAAATTCCGTAAAAACTAGTATTATTTCAATGTGTAGTGTTCGCGTAAATATAAGAAATCTCTTTTTAGCCAACCAATCTTCTTTTGAATCTGACATAATCTCAATACTGAAACAGGATAAGGAGTGGTAAGAAAGTTAAATTTACGATCATAAAATGTAAATAAATAACGATTGATTGATTTTGGTGATTTCAAAATTGATTTCGGTGCACCTATTTCCACCGAAAACACCGAATTCAATGCCACTGAAATCAAAATAATTAACAAAATCCTAAATGTTTTCGAAAATAAACTGTTTTTTTTTATATTAAACTCTTTTTTGAAATCTAATACATAAAAGACATAATTTTATTTTTATTTAAAAATATTAATTCAAATAGGTGTGGATTTTAGGTAATTACGATTTTGGGGTTCCAAAATTCCCCCTTAACTTTTTCCCCCGTTGGACGTGAAGACAACTAGTTGTAACTTGTCTACTAAGGCCTATTGTGCTTTAGTAATATTATAAATGGAATTAATAACTATCTAGTTGTTTGTGAACACATGTCAAATAGTGCCGAATATTGGAGAAAAAAGATAAAAAATAATTGCCGCCGCAATATGAGGCTGGACGCGGCACCGAGGTCAATATTTTCGAGGTTTTTAATTTTTTTAACTAACTTGTATTTAATTTATTCAAAAAATAACATATGCCCACCAAATATTTTGATCGTACCTGTTATAGAAAAAATATCAAGTTGTTAGTAATCCATTTCGTACTGGATTTCGACTCGGACATGCCTTTTTGAGCCGTCTGAGAATGACCGATGCTTTTTTTTACGACCTTTACTTTTAACTAACATTTAGACCTAGTTTTAAGTTTATAGTTGTAAGTTTTAAAAAACATATTCGTTGTCCACATTGCATGCCGTGGCAACCTTTAATTAAGACGACACTTAGATATAACCCTTCCTGTAATTTTTAGTATTTACATTGTGTTCGTGTACGTCTTGTTGGTTGTCCTAAATAAATAAAAAAAATGTGTCAAAAATATTAATAAATTTTTTTAAATGTGTAAATTCACTCAGTCTGTCAACACAGCGAATCGGGTTTGAAATAGTGATAATACGAAGTAATTGCTTGTATGTGTGCTTCCGGCGACACCATTCCTCGTACAAAATAAGGTTGACAGCCATTCAATTGTGTATTATAGTATTCTATGCTACTAACAATTCCTATGGATTCAAGTTGTCCGAAATAAACATTTTTTATTTATTTATTATTTTATTTATAAATCAAAAAGTCGCCACCGCTTGTTTGGTACTGCAATTCCTACACTAAATCTGCCTGTAGTGGTAAGATATATAATACTTGATCTATTTTATTCAACTTCATTATCAAACCTATTATGTCTTTACAGACTCGATATAGGTATTATTTTGTTTCCTTTGCAGAGTAACATATCAGTTCCAGAAAATGCAAGTCCGATAGCATCATCGTCTTCTCAAAAGCAGTCGACATCAACTACACCAAGGACCAAGGGCAACTGAACGAAAAGCTACCGATCCTGAAACTCCTTCAGTTTCACTTTCCTACCAAAAAACGTCTTTTTTGGTCGGAAAGTGAATCAGAAGTGTTTTATAGTGAACAAGCCAAGCTAAGCGTAAACATAAAACAATTAAGGAATTACGGGACAAAGTCCGTTACTATAAAAAAGAGTTGCATTTTTAAATGTTATAATAAAGACATTAGAGAAGAAAACTCTAATCAAAGCCGGAAACGGAGACATTAAA